CAAGGTCTCATGACTCTTTTTTCATATTTTTAACATTACTTATGATCATTGCCTGAATCAATTATTTCAGTAGGGTGTTTTTAATTCTATTACTCTACCTACTTTAGCTGGGTTGGAGTTATTTGATTACTCTGAAATATGGTCCATAGAGGGCAGGCATGATAAATGCTTACTACTTTCCCATCGATTACTAAACTCTGAGAGCACAGTTCCTAGTGAGTTGCACTGTTAAACCAAAGAATGAACAGCTCCTGTGAATTGACTCTCTGGGGCAGAAAGCCAGGCACTTACCTCCAGCAAGGATTTATAGCCTCAGAAACTAGATAGAGGGCACTGTAAATTGACGCTGACTTGAAAGCAGTGGGGTGTTTTGTTTTGTTTTTTCAGAGTAAGGGGCTGGTGTCTTAGCATCTCCAAGGATAAACAATAATTGGGATTTTTAAAATGTATATAAACTACACACACATAAACATATAGAAGGAAGCTCTGGTGGTAGTCTTTAGTTATTGGCCACATCTCTCTGGTAGTTGGAATCCACCAGAAAGCTCGGGGGTGGGGAGGGAGTGATGGGCAATATCCAACTCTGTGACTTACAGCCTTAGAAACCCAACGGAGAGTCAGCTATGAGTCGGCTTCAACTCAGTGGCAAGAAATGTGTGACTCATATATTTTTGTACATATGTTTGTACTCACTCCCGCATTATCATGAATTCATAAATGCTTATATATTCAGTGCATATCAGTTCACTGCATTAATTCTTTTCGATGCTTTGATCAGTGGCTGTTTCAAGCTAACTGCTGAATCCTTTTCACATGACCTGGTAGTTTGATTTTCTTGTCCCAAATCTGAAATCAGAAATTTCTTTAAGAAGTCCTGATAGCTTTTAGTAGAAATAGTTTTTAGGACCAACTACTTGAGGCATATGGATACATACTGCTACTAATGGAATGCCATCTTTTCTAGATCTTTTAAGGGACAGATGTAGAAACCATATCCTTAAGAAACAAAGCATTAAACGAATTATTTTTCCACTTAAAATTTAACATTATACAGTTACAATTTATTTTTATGTTTACTCTTTCACTGAAGGCTTTGATTCTGATCACATTAACATAATTATTCATGATATATTCTACAACAGTTGCAAAATTATAAAGCCAATATACTACTAAAAAGAAAACCACTCTATCACTTTCTTTGCAGTTTTTTTGTCCTTAAAAATATAAGCCACTTAGAGTTTTAGCTCAAGTACTAAGCTCTGAAGTAATTAAAATTCTTTTTCTTTGTAAATATGCCTGATGTTCAGTTAAGTACATTTAAGACAATTTTCAAATTTTAGAAGTTGTATTTTCTTTGATCTTTGTCAATTTTAGTAAAGGGAGCAAACATTTTCAAAAAGAAATTTCTAAAAAAGAAATTACTTGTAAAAGAGATTAACCCTTTTGCTGTTATTTAGGTTGTTAAGTTCTTTTCCACAGTTTTTCAATTTGCTTATTTGTGTATCTGTATGTAGGAGTTAGAAAGAAAAAAAAATCAAACTTAATCTACTGTTATTGAGTTGGTTCTGACTCATTGTGTGTCAGATCTTCTCCCATAGAAGGGCTGCTAGGTTTGAAATGTGGACTTATCAAAGCATTTTAACCAGCAATTTCCAGTGCTCCTTAGACCATGCAAAATGTTTTCTTTTTTTAGCTAAATTTATTGCTTTTGGATTTTGAGATCTGTGCTACTTGAATGACCTTAATTTTAAATTTAAATTTCTCATCTATTTATGTGAGGAGCTCTGGTGGCCTAGTGGCACGAAGGGATGCTATACTCCCTAAGGCATGCAGTTCAAGGCCACCAGCTGCTCTGTGGAAGGATGGGCAATCTCCTCCCGTGCAATTAACAGCCTCTAAAAACCCTCAGGAAGGTCAGCTATGGGTCGGTTCCGACTCTATGGTACAAAACAACAATCTATTTATAATTTATTGTGCTATATGGTGTGGGGCATGGATACAATTTTGTATTTTCCAAACAGCTACAAGTTGTTATAACACCATTTCTTTCTTTTTTTTTTATTTTATACTGGCTTATTTACAAAGTTTATATACATTGTTTTTCACACCAGATCTTTCCCATTTCCTTCACCATCCTCCTCCACCCATCAAACTGTGTGGCCCTATGATTAATCCCTCCCTTGTTTCCTCATACTCATTATACAATTTGAGACTGCTACCTTATCACAGGTTATATTTCATATACTTGATCTGACGCTGGACTTTCTCATCTGTCCTACTAGTCTATCTGTTCATGTGCCAAAATCACACTTTTAAATATTTATGCTTTAATGTTTTAGTATCAGAATTTGTCCCCTTTCTCAACGCTGCCCCCACCCTTTTTCTGCTGTGCTTTTCCTAGCTATTCTATCTTGGTTTTCAGTTTTCTCGCCACTGGGCCAATTAGCAGCACCATAATAGATGGAGAAGGGATTGAGTTTGTTAGCAATCACAGATTGCTCCGATCCACAATCAACACTCTTAATGCCAGCAGTCAGGAAATCAAAAGATGAACTGCACTGGGAAAATCTGCTGCCATGGACCTCTCCAGAGTGCTGAAAAGCAATGAAGTCATCAGTATAGATACAAAGGTATGCCTAATCTAGGCCATCGTCTCCTCAATTACTTGTTATGCTTCAGAGAGTTGGACAATGACTAAGGATGACAGAAGAATAGATGCCTTCGAGTTGTGGTGCTAGGGAAGAGTCTTGAAAATCAGTCTATCTTGGAGAGGGTGAAACTAGGTCTCTCCTTGGAGGCTAGGATTTTGAAGCTCCACCTCTCTTACTCTGGGTACATGATCAGGAGAGACTGGTCCTTGGAGAAGGAAATCATGTTCAGAAGGGTGGACAGACAGTACAGGAGAGAAAGACCCAGATGAGATGAACTGATACAGTGACTGGGACAATCTGGGTTGATGTGTCAGTATTAGTGAGACTGGCTCAGGACTGGGAAGGGTTCAGAGCTGCTATACATAGATAGGGATGCTATATGTTGCAAGCGACTCAATGGCACATAACAGCAATAACATATTATGACAGATTTGGAAGCAGGACTGGCATCCACTTCCTAAACAACATGCCTCCGGAAACTCTATGAACTCTTGATAAATGTCAATAGTTGTAGATAGGCTTCAGGCCTTTTGTTCATAGGGTCAGTATGAGTCATGTTTGACTCAAAAGCAATAAACAACAACAATATATGAACTTTATCATCAACTTGTCTGGTTTCAAACTAGGAAGAAGGAAAAAAAAAGAAATCCATTGGGATTGGCTTTTGGATTACCTTAATGTTATAGATTAAAGGTAACTGGCAATTTTATATTTCTTTTTATGTTTAAAAAAATGTGGAAGTTTTTATGTGCCATTGTTAAATGTTGTCTAACTCCTAGTGACCCCATGTACAACACACCTAAGCCTTGTCCAATCCCGCATCATCTTCTCCGTCTCCGCTGTACTGAAGTTAGCCTGTTTCACTGAGTCTCTCCCTCTCTTTCTCTGACCCTCCACCATTCCAAGTGTGATGTCCTTTTCTAAGGACTGGTCCTTCTGAACAAAATGCCCAAAGTATGTGAGATGAAGTTTCACCATCCTGGCCTCTAAAGAAGCACTTTCATTGCCCTTCTTCTGAAACAGATTTGTTTTTCTTTTAGGAATCCATGGTCTATTCAGTACTCTGCCAAAACCACAATTCAAAGACATCAGTTCTTAGGTCTTTCTTATTTATTGTCCAACTCTTATGTACAAGTCAAACACTAGAAAATATCATGGTTTGGATGAAGCACACACACTTTAAACTGATAATTGTAACATGTAGTGTTTTAGTGTGATCCTTGGAGCAGATTTGACCAGTGCAGTTTATCTTTTGATTTCTTGACTGCTGCTTCCATAGACCTTGATTGTGGATCCAAGTCAAATGAAATCCTTAACAAGTTCAATCTTTTCTATGTCTACTCTTGTTAATTTTGTTCTAAGGAATTTTGCATTAATTTGTTACTACACTGTAAATGGAGTCTTTTTATGTAGATGTTGCCTGTATATAGAAAAACTACTGATTGTCCTGGCTACCTTTTAATGCACTTAAAATCAAGTATTAGTTACTAAATAAAAAATTAAGGAGCTCTGGTGGCATAGTGGTAAGGAAATGCACTGCTAATGCAAAGGTACATGGTTTGAATCCATAGCTGCTCTATGGGAGAAAGATGGGCACTCTCTTCCTGAGATTAACTGCCTCTGAAAACTTGTTCTGGGGTCTGCTATGGGTTGGTTCTGACTCTGCAGTATGCAACAACAAACACAAATATTTTTCATATTTATTTGGTGAAAGGAATAGCATTCAATCTTTCTTAAAAGCTTATTGTTGCTGTTGCTGTGTACATTAAGTAGAGTCAGAACCAACCCATAGCTGACCCTCCAGTGGGTTAATTGCATGGGAAGAGACTGCCCGTTCTTCTCCTGTGGTGCAGCTGGTGGCTTTAAACCATATGCCTTCAGGATACCAGTGCAGTTTCTTGTCACTAGGCCTCCAGAGCTCCGTAAAAGCTTATTATCACTAACTCAGACCCAAGGATAAATATTGTATAAAACCATTATTGTGGAATGAGTATAAGGATCCAAGAGGGGTGGGAGAAGCTGGAAGCAGAGGGATGTGGATGTGCAGGGGGAGAGGGGATTAATCATGGGGTTGAACAATTTGATGGGTGAGGGTGTGAGGGATTTGAAAGAATTTGTTCAAATTTTTATTAGAATTTCGTAAATAAGCTAATGAAAAGAAAAAAGTCAACCTGGGGAAGGGGAAGGGAGAGTGAGGGGGTAAAATGTGCAACAATGAATGAATGAATGAAAATCTAACTTTTCTGTAAATGTTTGTTAAAATGACAATGAAAAGAAAATGTTTTTTAAACAAAGGTTATTATCACTCTAGAATTTAAATATGTTTCATAAGAAATCATAGAAACTTACCTTTGTATATTCATCTTTGGCCTTGGTGAGCATTTGTAAGATATCTACTTCCTTGCCCTCTCCTGAACTGAGGATCATTGGGGAGATTCCGGCACCTGCTCCTTGATGGGCTTTCAGCTGCTCATACTGAGTTAAGCTAGAAAAGCAGAGGTGAAAATCCATATAGGGAAAGGTAAGTTCAACACAAATGGTTTCTATGTTCCCTCCCCCATTTACAATTATTTTCATTGTGTAATAAACATATTGTTGTTGTTGTTTACTGTCAGGTTGTAACCAACCCATAGCTGACTCTCAAGCAGGTTTTCAGTGGCAGTTAATTGCATGAGAGGAGACTGCCCATCATTCTCTCGTGGAGTGGCTGGTGGCCTTGAACCGTGTGCCTTTGGGATTGCAGCACAGCTTCTTGCCACTAGGCCACACATGTTATTGTTGTTTTATGCCATCGAGTCACCTGTGACTCATAGCGACCCTACAACAGCCCTAAACCCTGCTCTATCCTGTGCCAACCTTATTGTCTCTGACACACCCACCCCCATTACCCCAGTCACTGAATCAGTCCATCACATCGAGAGTCTTCCTCCACTCTCCCAAGCATGATGTCCCTCTCCAAGGACTGGTCCCTCATATATTAGGGTGGACAAAAAAAAAGACAGCTTAGGAATTGAAAGAAGGAAAGTGTGATTTGGAGGCCTGTGTACACTGACAAGGGAGCTGGGTTGCCACAGTCCATTGGGAGTTGCGCTGCTAAACCAAAGGCAGTGTCTCTGGCAACTGGAATCTCTCAGCAGCTTCACGGGGAGAAAGATAAGAAATCTCCTCTGGAGGGATTTACAGACAACCCCTTGGAGGGTTCAGCTATGAACTGTTTCCAACTTGACAGCAATGGGGGGAGAGTAGACACTGACAACCTATATGATCTAGAGTCTACTAGCAGCTATTGAATTAGTTCCATCTCACACTCATCTCACTCCATCAGGTTTCTGAGGCTGCATATCATAATGGAGGAGACTGGGCATCTTTTCTCCTGAGCTGCTAGTGGATTCGAACTACTGGAGATGCCCAGCCTAGGGGCTAGCAGTGGAGTATCCAGAGTCAGAGTTAGCAAACTAGGACCTGCAGGACAAATCTGGCCCACTAATTTGCTCTTGTAAATAAAGTTTTATTGGAGCACAGCTACACTTGTTCATATCTACACTGTCAGTGACTTTTATTGGATCACAGCTACACTTGTTCATATCTACACTGTCAGTGACTGGTTTTTCATTACAACAGCAGAGTTGATTAGTAGCTGCAATCAGGTCTTTCAACTAGTTAATTCCAGTTCAACTCTGCTGAGAGTTTCCATTTCCACTCCCGATATATATAGTCAGAATCTACATTTTAAAGAAAATTCCCAGGTAATCCTTATGTAAATACAGAATGGAATCTTCATTATGTTTCTAACCATTATTTCTTATAGATCTCCTGGTGATTCTTATATATACACATAAGTAGTTGTTAACTGCCATTCTGTAGAGTTGTAGACGACTCATAGCAACCCTGTGAACAAAAGACCTGAATAACTGTATCACTTTCATCATTTCATAAGAATCTTGTTAAAATGTAGATTCCAATTCGGTGTGTCTGGACTAGAAAGGCAAATTTTTAGGGAGGTAGAACTAGAATGAATTTGTTTAAGCCATTGACCTGCAAAGTCTAGAATATTTACTATCTGGCCCTTTTACAGAAAAATTATGCCAATTTTAAATCTAGAATATTTGAAAGGACTCATTAATTTCTGAAGAAATCCAATTTAGAGTTCTCAAACAATAATGGCGAGCTCTGGTGGCTTCGAGGCAAGGAATTGTACTGCCAACGCAAAGGTATATAGTTTGAATCCACCAGCTGCTCCATGAGAGAAAGATGAGCAGTCTCCTCCCGCCTGATTAACTGCCTTTGAAGACCAGAGGGAGGGGGGTCAGCTAGAGGTCAGTTCAGCAACAACAAATACTATGGGAACTTCACAGCAAATCAAGAATTTTCTCTTCCTCATTCCAGAATACTTTGAAGAGTGATCCCAGCAGTTGAAATGCCATTATTCTAGAACATTTTATAAACATGGTGAAGATGCCCTACTAATTCTGAGAACAGGGGGAAGCAGATGAGTGTCTTTGCAGGGCTTTTTATGAATACATAAGAGACTTGTATACGTAAGATTTTTTTTATATGCAGGAGATTCACCCGAGGATTTGTAAGAATTAACTGGGGATCCTGTTTAACTGTAGAATCTGAATCAGTATATCTGGAGTGAAAATGAAAGCTCTCAGCCAGGCACTGAACCAGAATGAGCCAGTCTGAAGCCCTGATTGTGTTGTCTTGAAAACAATGCAGAAGGCGGTCAGATTGTGCTGGTAAGCAGTGAGGTGTTGCCAAGAAAAAGCCTTCCTCCCTTTGTGTGCTTTGACTTTCTGCTCAAATTCTTATAATTGCCATGAAATTTATGATTAAAAAAGTAAAAAAAAAAAATCTGATAATTTACCAAGAGAGCTCATTCTAACTGGAAGGGATCTGAATCCACACAAATCAGCTGCTTATTGCTGGTGAACAATCAATTTCCTGCCCCAGCTGTTAAGTAATTACTGCAGAATGCTGACAATTTGAACATGGCCTCTTGGCAGAGCTACAGGGTATTTTTTAATCTATATGAAATCCTGCTATTATAATGCACTGCACGGTTTACAATAACACAAATGTCCCAGAAACTAGTTGTTATGGAGGTAAATACCAGTTTGAAAATACTTAATCACCAGCTGCAACTTGAGTTAGTTACCTACAATTAGCTATCACAAGCTAGATGTTCAAGGAATCAGTGATTATTATAAAAAAATGCTCCCCATTTTTCATTGCCATGGGGTCATTTTTCAGTCATTTCGCTGCCTCAGGACTTGAAACTGGAATTGGTTCTTTTGCAGCTGGAGGTGCTCTGTTGTGGGCTGCATCCAATCACAGGCTCAGATACAGCACGTTGAGGAAACTCATTTAATTTGAGGGTTTCTTGTTACCCATCCCCATAAATAGGAGAGAAATAGCTGCCCCTGAGTGAGCGGGTGTGTGTGTGTTTAACAAACACAGAGAAAACAGCAAACCGGTCCTCTGAAAGCAAAGCAAAGGCAGAACAGAAACATCGTAAGGTATCATGAGATTAAAAGAAAATGAGATTAGTAATAAGGAAGGGATAAGAGTGTCGACTGATAACTAAATTAACATTAACTCAGAAATGTCTGAAGGGATTGAATATAAGGACTTTCCTTAGCATGCACTATGTTTGGGACAAGAGAGAAAACTGGGTTTCTACAGATGTGGTTTTGCAGTTAAATAGGCATGGAAAGAAACCAGGAACCTGAAAGAATCGGAAACTGGTTTTTGAATGGCTCTGGATGCTCTCTTTAAATAGACAGATAACTTATTTGTAAAAGCAACAAACTTCTCATTTATAAATGAGGAAACTATGAAGGAAAATTGCCATTTAGAAGAACTCTTATTGTTACATATATTTCATACTGGTGGAAAAAAAAATGAGTCATTACAAGATGATAAATCTTACCTAATGAAAATATAGCAAGTTCTTTCTTGGGTCTGTTTTTCATTTATTAAGTAATATTAAATGTTTTCTGGGCGACTGTGAAAGGATTGCAATAAGATTTATTCTATTAGAAGTCTAGTATAGTAACTCACATTTAGAAATACAAACTAAGAAACACAAGAACCTGAAAAATGCTCAACTTTCAGCACTTACTTTTTCATAAGCTCTGCAATTCTTTGGCACTCTTCCTTGTCATAAAACCAAATTCCATAAATGGACACTGCAAAAGAATACATCAAATTGTGACCATCTTCAAATTAAAAAGTGGAAACAAATTACTTTTTCCACACTAAAGGGAAATGTACACTTATAGTACACATGGAAACCATCACCTGAATTAAAGCTTGAAAATCTAGCACTGAAACTTTTAAGCCCATAAAGAAAACAATAATGGGTCTTATACAAAGACAGAAAGGAACATATACACTCCCTCTCCCTGCCTCTATGTAGATTCTGACATTTAGGGACTCTGGAGGATAGCATAGAACTGCCCACAAGTTTCCAAGGATATAGATCTTCACAGAGGCACAGACTGCCTCTCATTTTTCTCTTATGTAGCAGCTAGTGGGTTCAAACTGCTCACCTTTTGGTCAGCAGTCAATTGCATAACCATTAAGCCACCAGAGCTCCTCAAATAAAGATACACACTTTCAATTAAGTATGTTTTATTTAACATCTGAACATAATAGACATTTGGCAAATGCTTCCTAAATAAATACAGATGAAAAATAAAATCAGAATTTAACATTCTGATCTTAAATATAATTTCTATATTACATTTACATATTTAATAAACATATCTTTATTCTTTAGGAATCAGGAACTCTATGCACAAATTACACATAGAGGGTGCTCCCTGTCCCAGGTATATGCTAACTGGAAATCTGCCTTGTGTAAGTTAAAATAGAGTGCTGGCAATAATAAAATTTAGTAACAAAACTCTGATTTCAACTCAGAAAGTTTACAGATTTCAAAAGATTAGATCAACTATGATTTAAGCATTTAGTAATGAGACACATGTGATCCAGTACACATGCTAGTATACATTCAGTAATTTTCAAGAAGTTGTATATTATGTGTTCATCTATATAATTTTATAGTAAAGGCTGGAACAGTTCTAAAATACATTTATATATATCTAGTTAAAAATCTGGTGGGCATTAATCATGTAAATAATGCATTAACTATATAGAAATTTTTAAAATCTTCATTGAAAATACTAGCAGTATTATGATTAAGCCAATAAAACTGGCAAAGAATTATAAAAGGGGAAATGTTTCCATTTTAAACCTTTAAAACAGTTATATTAATCTGATTTGATAATTTAAACAACTGTGATATTATAACCAGTCCCCCCATCCCCTACATTTCTCTAACAAATGTATAGAACTTCTGCTTCTTGTCAGTAACAATTCAGATATCAAGATGTAGAGGGAATATTTCTGCTGGTGCTATTTTCAGGAGAAGGAGCCCTGCTGCTGTAGTTAGTAAAGTGCCTGGCTACTAATCAAAAGTTGGCAGTTCAAATCCACCAGCCACAGCTCGGGAGGGGGCAGTCTTATCCTATTGAGATTTACAGGTTTGGAAACTGAGTAGAGGATTGTCACTATTAGTTGAAAATGACTCCCTGGTAATAGGCATTTTAAGTAGATAATGTAAAAAGGTTGTGCTGCAATTTTAAAGGCCTATGGTTCATATCCAGCAGCTATTCTGAAGGAAAAGATGGGCAGTTTCCTACCATGTAATTTATTGCCTCTGAAAACTGGAAGGTCAGCTATTGGTCAGTTCCAACTTGATGGCACACAACACCACTGTAAAACAGGAACTTATTAATAATGTGTCAAAGGTGGCAATTGGGCTTTTAAGCCTGTTTTTCAGTATCATTAATAGATCAGAGATTTTAAGCTTACCCACCTATATTAGAGGGAGGGAAAATGTGAAACCCTCAAACCTGTACCAACTCTTTCTTGAACAGGATCATTCTAATCTCTTAGATAGAAATATTGTTAAATGGAGGGAGCTCTGGTGACTTTGTGGATAAAGAATTGTGCTGCCAATCCAAAGGCAGGAAGTTCGAATCCACCTGCTGCTCCATGGGAGAAAGATGGGCAGTCAACTCCCGTGCAATTTACAGCTTCAGGGAAACTGGATGGTGGGGTCAGCTGAGCTCGTTCTGATTCAACAGCAATAACAATATCATTTATTCTTAGACAAACATTTCTCCATAGTATATAAACAGTCTTGGGAGGAGGACATCTGAGCTCTGAAGTGTAATACTATGAAAGAATTTTTATCTAAAGAATTCTTTCATCTCAAAATCATTAAATATGTATCCCAAAACTTTATATTCAAGGTTACCTCCAGTCCATCAACACTAATTCCTTCTCTAATTCCCACCTAGGTTCCTGTACCTTATTCTTATGTTCCTGTAAGTAAAAATACATTGACTGGATGTGGCTATTCAGCCACTTATAAATCCAGATATATTTGTGTGTTTTGATGGCTTCAGTCTTATCACAAAACTAGAAGCCTGGCCTATTTTTTTGGTTACAGTGAAAATGTTCTTACATTGGAGTCTGAATTTTCTAAAACTGGAAATGTGGTTAACAGGGAAGAGCAAAAACAATCTGGCTTTACTAAGGAATCTGAGGCCCCAAAACAGAGAAGCAGAGGAAAAGCCAGCCATTTGTATCTCATCAGTGGGATATACTAATAAAAATATTTTGGATTTAATTTTGTGTTATTACACATTGGTGGCATCTGACATAAGTAACTGGGTTTTCATAAGGGGAAGATGCCAAGGAAACTGTTGATACAAACAGCAAAGCAGTTTGACACTGTCATAATCATGAGGAAGTGAAATGCAGACTTAGGAAAGAAAATGCTGTGGAAAACATCTTTCAAGTGTCAAAGCAGAATGAAGGAAAGCCTGCCTTTTGTTGTAATTTTTAAGACATGATGGTAATATTTTTAAAACAGGACAGTTTTCCTCAAAAGCAACATAGCAATAAAATGAAAATGAGACAATTTTGAAAACATTTTTTTGTCCTTGTTAATATGTATTTTGAAATTAAAAAGCATGAAGCGGGGAGTGGGGGGACCCAACCCTCAAACAAACAGATTTGCCAGCAATCCTGGATACTGAAAAGTGCCAAGCACGAAGATAAAGTGTAGAACTGGGCCGAATTTTTCTCTCCCTAAAATAGTTTTGCCACTTGAGCTGCATTCCACTGGGAGAGGGGCAGTAGATGGTATTAAAGTGCGCATTCCAACTGAAGTTTTCTGCCTCTCGGGCCCAAGGTTTCCCAACCCTTGGCCAGACCTATCACTCTTCCATACAAGAGGCTATATCAGAAGCAGCTCGTGGTGATATATAAAAACCAGAGATCATCATGCCTTAGGGAGGTGATGAGCTGACAGGCTGACAAAAGCCATTAACTTCACATTTCAATCCAAGTTTTCCTGTAGCCACTGTGTGAGAGGCCCTGCCTCCGTGGGCAGTAAGCACAGCAGGGGAGAAAGAACAAGATAAGGCTGAAAAGGACCAAGGGAGAAGGTGTGGCTTTCAGAAATCTAAAACTTTAAAATACTGATGGTAGCCTAGATGTGCAGCAACGTGTGACGCTGTGCAAACTTCTGTACCATTTAGATGTTAACGACAAGAATCTGAATTTTTGCTTGGCTTTAGAGAATTACCAGGAGCAAAGCTCCATAACGAGAGTATTTATTTATTGTAAAAACTCAGGGTACTTATTAGTACACATCTGGAAGTCCACAATGCTTCGAGCCTTTGTCCAGCCTGCTACACCCCCATACCAGCCACTTGATAGTCATCTGTCGGCCGAAACAGAGATGAAGTTTAAGGGTACCTTGGTGCATGAAGCTCAACTTAACTGTTTCTACATCTCTCCTGGAGGTAAGAAATCCTAGGAATAGGAAGAATATGCTGACATTCACTGTGGAACACTCTAATGACACCTAGAAAGTGGGGCTCCACTACTCTAGGGACATATATGTTTGGTACTGCATTGTGGTGAGTTATGTCAAGTTGGGTAAATACATTCTTAACTGAAAACAAGTTGAATGTCAGGCAAAGGCAACACAATAATGCTTTTATATATCAATGAAAACACTAAACTTTGACATTCCTTTTAATGTCAAGAGAAAGAATGTAGACATCACACTTTGCATGTTAGATCTCATGCCTGAGCTGGTGGGGTTTTTTCTGCCTCCACAGACAAGCCAGAGAGCAAGCTGATTACACATTCTGTAAGGGTATTTTCTTTTTCAATTTCTTGAGTAGAAAAAATCTAACCCTGTTCAAGTTTAGAGGCAAGTTAAGAGGTTGTTGGAGGCAACATCAAATGTCACTTAAATGTAACTTTTTACTTAAAAACACTTTCATTCTTATTAGCAAGATTCATTAATTTATTTTGGAGGTTCTTTGAGGGTTTACCCCACTCAGTGTATATTGAAGGAGCCTTGGTTGAATAATGTATAATGTGTTGGGTTGTTAACCAAAAGGTCAAAGGTTCTAATTCACCAGCAGCTCTGAGGGAGAAAGATGAGCGATCTCCTCCCCAAATGATATAAATCCTCAGAAATCTGGTGGAGTTGGAATAAATTGGACAGCTGTGGGTTAGTTTGTATTTATAAGACCTATTTCTATTCAATGTATTATTTTAAGAAAATTGGTTGTTCTAGGACATTTGTTCTGTAGTTTACCCAAAATATCACTCAAACCCCAAATTCTTGAATGAAAATTGTAAGGACTAAAGCAAAGATTCATGCTACTATTTGTGTAATGTTAAAGAATAAAGCCTACTTACATACAGTTAGTAATTTGATGATATAAATCATAATATATGGGTAAAATTGAAATAGCTAAGATATCTGATTTAGTAATGCTTTCCTGCCACCTTTAAAAAAATAATTTCACTAATTCTTCTTAAAAGGACATGGAAATATGTATTTTTCATAATCAGTATGTAGTAAGAAAGGCATTTAAGTGCTCTCTTTTCACTAGACAAGCCAAAGAAACATGGCAGTGTAACTCTAGGCACTTAAGGATAAACTAAAAAATTTTAAATTCCTTCAAATACCATTATTTTCAGGGTACCCTCCCTTCCTGAGTGGAACAGTAATCTCAATTGATGGACATCTAATCATGTATTTAAGGAGCTCTGATATAATAGTAAGTTAAGTGCTGGACAACCAACA